CCTCAGCGCACGCTGCCTTCGTCGCCTTTCCCGAGCCCCCCGCCCCCTTGCTTCGTTTCCCCTCAAGTCTCGCGCATGGGTGCAGGCGGGGAGCTTCAATTGGCACCCCCGCCGAACACAGCAATCGAGGATGCATCGCCCATTCATGGCCCATAAAGACACCATTTCCAGGACCCTGCGCCCGACCCCCACTTTCACCCTCCAAAGCTGTCCATAGACCCCGCGCGGGGAGGGGAGGCCGGCGGCAGGCCGGACGCGAGGCGCGGACCGCCGGGACGGCCAGGGAGAGACCCCCACGGAGGGGGATGCCAGCAGACCAGCGCCCTTGGCCGGGGGGTTTCCCTGCGGCCTCGCGCGCGGGGCCTGGGGGAGCGGAGAAAGCGCAAAGGCGCCTAACGGTCGCAGATCTGGTAGAGAGAACGCGCGATACGAAGTACCGGTGGCGACGAGGAGCGAAGGCTGGCCGCTGCAGGCGAGCGGCGGGAACAGTCGGAGATCCACCGGGAGGAATACCCCCCGAGGGAAAGCCCGGAGCCCAGCGCGTCGGGCCGAGGGGGTTTCCCTGCGGCCTCGCACGCTGGGGCAGGGCAAGGAGAGGGGGCCGCAGAAGGGCTGGTGGGATTAATTACGCGAAGCGTCTAGAATTTAGAAGCGTCTGCGCAATACCCCAACCCTCTAGGGCCCAGGCCGAAGTTCACATTCAGGGGGCGCGGCAAGCCGACAGACAACAGAACAAGTTCCCGATTCTCGAATCATTTACACCGCTCGAACAGGAATAACGGCAAAAGGGCTCGTGAGAGGCTGGTGGCAATTTTAGGCAGGTAAGCGGAGCCTCTCGCGCACTGCGCCTCTCAATAATGATAGGTTTCGTACTCGAAGCCGCGCAGCTCCGAGTACTTGACCGAGCCAGGGCGACGCAAGGCCCCAGGCCCTCCTCTTCTTCCTCCTCCTCCTCCGCCTCCCTCCTCCTCCTCCTCCTCCTCCTCCTCCTCCTCCTCCTCCTCCTCCTCCTCCTGTTCCTGCTCCTCCTGCTCCTCCTCCTCCTCCTCCTCCTCCTCCTCCTCCTCCTCCTCCTCCTCTTCCTCCTCATCCTCCTCGTCGTCCTCCTCCTTAGAACAGAAGAAATGAAGAGAGAGAGAGAGAGGGAGAGAGAGAGAGAGAGAAAGAGAGAGAGAGAGAGCGCGGGTAGGCGTGGAGTGCCTGCGAGCACTGAGAGCTACATTCGGGCCTGCAGTGGGGGGTTCGGGCTGATGTATTTTGAAGGTTTGGGCCGTTGCCGATGTTGGTGGCTGCTTTTCGGCGCTGCGTCGCACTCCAAGAAAGCTGATGGGCGGAGACTTATCATAGTAAGGTGGCCGAGCGGTCATTCGTTGTCCCTGGGTGCGTGGCTGAAGTGAGAATCCGTGGTGAGGAGTATGTTTGTTGCGTTGTTGGTGGTGTTGGTGTTGTTGTTAATGTTGTTGGTGGTGGTGTTGTTGTTGCTGTTGAATTCTCCTTTCTGAAGAATAATTACTGTTTTTTTCCATCAAAATGTGTCCCTCGACGCTCGCACCCTGTTCTTTGACAGGGAAAGTCTTCCTGCTCAAACTGGGCCCCTGGCCCCCGGGTTACAACAACAATGGCTCCCGCCGGAGACTTCCTTACAATTTAGCCAGGACCCCCGCTCCCGCCCGAGACTTCCTCGCATTTTATTCGGGAATCGCGCTCACGCTTGGGACTTCCTTACAATTTACTCAAGAATCGTTCTTCCGGCGCTCTGAAGTCGCGCTCTCGCTGGACTTGCTTGCAACTTACTGAAAAATGGCCTTGCGTTGGCATTTCCTGCAATTTGCCCAAACGCCGCGCCCCCGACACCCAGGCACCCAGGAGTCGCGCCCGTTGTGGCCCCATGTGCATGCCCTTCGTGGCCCCGCTGTCACCATTTGTGTCCCCCTCACTGTCCTACGTGGCCAGGTTGCTACCCTCAGTTGCCCCATAGTTGCCTTCTGTGGCCCCGCATTATCTGCACTTCGTGGCCCCTGCTCGTTCGCGCTTTTCGTGGCCCCATACGCATTCCCTTCGCGTCCCCTCTGTCGCCCTTCGTGGCCTACTTCGTGCCCTTCGTGGCCCTGCTGTCGTTCTCTCTCGCTCTCGCTTTCGCTCGTCGTCGCCGTCATCGTCGTCGTCGTCGCCGTCGCCTTCGACGTCGTCGTCGTCGTCGTCGTCGTGGTCGGTCCCCTGTCCGTCCCTCTTGGGGTCGGGTCGACGGTCCGCGGCCGCCCTGCCGATCAGCGCTGCCGCTGGCCAGGCCGACGGTCCGCGGCCGCCCCGCCGCTTGCCGGGCCCGGCCTGCAGGGAAGAAAGGTATACCCCCCAAAAAGGGTTCGATCGAAGACGAAGAGGGCGGGTATCGAGGGTTTGGAAAATACGCGTTTTTGGACACTCGAGCATAGTTATAAGGGCGAACGGTCTTAGCATTATTGCTGCTGTTATTGTTGTTGTTGGTGTTGTTGTTGTTGGTGTTGGTGTTGGTGTTGGTGTTGGTGTTGGTGTTGGTGTTGGTGTTGGTGTTGTTGCTGTTGCTGTTGCTGTTGCTGTTGTTGTTGTTGTTGTTGTTGGTGGTGGTGTTGTTGTTGTTGTTGTGGTTGTGGTTGTTGTTGTTGGTGTTGTTGTTGTTGTTGGTTGTCGTCGTCCCCCCCACGACCCACCCCGCGACCCACCCCGCGACCCACCCCGCGACCCACCCCGCGACCCGCGACCCACCCCGCGACCCACCCGCGACCCACCCGCGACCCACCCGCGACCCACCCCGCGACCCACCCCGCGACCCACCCGCGACCCACCCGCGACCCGCCCCGCGACCCACCCGCAACCCACTCTGCGACCCATCCGCGACCCACCCGCGACCCACTTGCGACCCACCCGCGACCCACCCACCCGCGACCCACCCACGACCGACCCACATTGGTTTGAAGAAAAAATCGGCGCCTGTGGCGGGCTCATGGTATAATTTGTGAAACTTTGGCGCCTGCGGCGGGCCTCTCCCGAGTCTCGCAGACTGCCGACGTCCCCAGCGCCCCTTCACTCTTGTCCGCATCTGCGGGGTGCTACGCATTTTCCTCAATGAAAATTACTGATCGACCCATGCTTTCTCATCGGGGCCCAAAAACGACCAAAATGGCATGTTTTGATGGCCCTGGCCCGAGCGGCTGCATCTCGCAATGAAAATTGTCGCCCATTTTGTGGCACTGCTCGCTTGCGCTATGCACGGCCGTCATTTCATGGTATCGACCGATGCTGCACCCGAACGGCCAAGCGGGTGCCCTGCGCAGCTGTCGCGGTGTCGGGGCGTCGGCACGCCACGGCGTCGCGGCGCCGCGGCGTCGCGGTTGCGTGGGGGGCGAATGCGGGGGGGGCCAGCGTCCTGCATGGATGTGATGTCGCGGCGCCACGGTGTCGCAATGTCGTTGCGCTACGGTGCCCCACGGAGAAGGAGGCGGAGGGGGCGACAGCCCTACTTCGGGGCCCTCGGCGGGGGCGGGTGGTTTTCAAAATGTGGCTCTCGCCTTAGCGCCGCGCACATTCGCTTTACAAATGCGTAAAAATTGCACGGATCGAGGGCGGCTCCTTTTTCATGTGGTTCTCGCCTTAGCGCCGCGCAAATTCTAGTTCTCATATAAAAAGTCTCACGGATTCCCATGATCAGCGTACTAGACATGGTGCCTGGGAAGGATTCTGGGTTATGAGGGCGCAACAGCTGCGCTGATTCGCGGTGCTGAAGTCCCGGGAAGGTTGTTCTGACACGAGTCAAGATCGTCAAGACGCAACAGTATGCTTGTTGTATTCCCGATAACAATGTTTTGGCATGCTTCAGGGTCTTCAGACGGTTGTCTTCCAACGGGGCAATTCCCTCAGTGGAAATGACCCGTTGTAGGGGCCTACGAAAAGCGAGCTTGGAGGGAGGGTTTATTCCAACATCGTTGATGACTCTTGGGTTTCCACTGGTCCTCCTCCTCCTCCTCCTCCTCCTCCTCCTCCTCCTCCTCCTCCTCCTCCGCCTCCTCCTCCTCCTCCTCCTCCTCCTCCTCCTCCTCCTCCTCCTCCTCTTCTCCCTCCCAAGGTGAGGGGCCTGGCCAGGGAGGAGCGCGCCCGCGGCCACGGGCCCCGAGGCCGCCAAGGGGCGCGCCGGGGGCGCGAACGAGGCAGCGCGGGCTGCGGGGGGGGGAGGGGGGGGCAGCAGCAGAGGCACGATGACGAGAGCAGAGGCGAGAGCACGGGAGCGACATGGCCTCGCGCCCCGCGCGCCGCAGGGCGCGGCGCTCGGTGGTCTTCGCGCCTCCTGCGCCGCCCCCCGGAGAGAGGAGGCCTGCTCGGCGCCCCTGGCCGCGACGCGCGCTGAGCAGTTATCTTCCCACCCCTGGGGGTGACCTGGGGGGGGCAAGGCAGAAGCCCCAAGAGTCCTCCCTCACTCTCTCCTTTTCTATTCGATCCTCAGGACGTGTGTTAGCGCCGACGTGTGCCTGTCCACTGGAGCCCGTCAGCACGACGCAGGCGGTGCAACGAGGGCTGACACAGGCTGGTTGCGATGAGCGAGACGCACACACAGTCGGCTAACACGCGTCCTGATGATCATCGACCCATCTCCTTCAGTCTCACAGGATCAGTGGGCGTCGAGCTGCTAAGTAGGATGGGATCGGAACGCGCGTCGAATCTGCCGGAGATTGGATTGAGTTGGTCGCGATGCGATGCACGACCACGCCGTGCAAGTGTCGAGGGTCGCATTGGGTCGCCTCTACACATCGAAATCGAACAAGACTGGGCCGGCCTATATCGATGCCGAATCGGATCGACCGAATCGAAACGTGCCATGTCTGCCCCTCACCTTCCTCTCGCCCAAGGTACGTGTCAGGACCCTTCCTGGGGGGCGCCCGTTGGTGCCTACCAGGGGCGCTTCCCTGGCGCATCCGAAGGCACCCGCCAGGGCGCTTCCTCGGTGCGCCCGACCTTCCCCCCCTGCGGGCCTCTTGAAGTCGCACGGGTCCCAGAGGTCCCACATGGCCCCTCGCGCGCGGGGGCAGTCGCCGCGGCTGCCTCTGCTCCGTCGCTGAGCTGCAGCAGTTACAGGCCACGGCAGCCTGAAGCTGCCGCTGCGGCAGCTGCGACCACTGACTGCTACGACTGCCCTTGCTGCCACTGCTGCGGATACAACCAAAGAGGAAGTGGCAGCGCTCCGACTGCTACTGCTGCTGCTGTTGCTGCTGCTGCTGTTGCTGCTGCTGCGGCAGCTGCCGAGACCGCTGCTGCGGCTGATCCTGCTAACACCACTGCTGCGGCCGCTCATGCTACTGGCACAACTGCAACCAGGCACTATACTACGCTACTCGACTCTCCGTATCCGTCCACTTGTGCGCACTGTCATACCTCGACGAATGCGCATGAAGCCTAAAAATATTGCGGCGCCGACGCGCACATGTAACTAGAAGCGGGCTCACCTATCAATGTAAAGGCACATGTGTATATATGCTGATAGGCACAGACATGCACATGCCTATATACACGCATGCATGATATACGCCCCCCTTTTTCACCAAATAATTGATCGCTGCTTCCTTCGTCTCCTTCGCCTCCATTTGATGTCATGTATGCCATCGCTCGCTTTAGTCGATCGTCGCTTTTCCCGCATATCCATCGTTATCTCCCTTGCGTCCCTTACTTCACACCACATCTGAAGCACATGTCCGACTTCCCTTAGCCTGCCTTGAGCTTCCCTTGAATCTCCAATTTTGCCTCTCCACGCAGAAGTTTGAAAGACCATTTGGCGCGCATCAGCCTGCACACGAAGCAATGCGTTCTTGTGCCTTCCACGAGGGATGTCGATCAAAACATGATTGCCCGGCTTCGTCAAATCGAACCTCTGACCAAGAACGTTTTGCAAATGGGGATCGCCGGTGGCAGCCACGGCACCGCCAGCCACACCCGCCATGGGAGCTCCAGCAGGAAACGTCGGATGTGGCGTCGGCCAACCCGGAGGATACGTCGGGCTGGGCGTCGGGCTGGGCGTCGGGAAGGGTGTCGGGAAGGTGGTCGGGTAGGGCGTCGGAAAGGCAGTCGTGTAGGGCGTCGGGTAGGCAGTCGGGAAGGGCGTCGGGTAGGGCGTCGGGAAGGCGGTCGGGTAGGGCGTCGGAAAGACAGTCGGGTAGGGCGTCGGGTAGGGTGTCGGGTAGAGTGTCGGGTAGGCTGTCGGGTAGGCTGTCGGGTAGGGCGTGGGGTAGGGCGTCGGGTAGGGCGTCGGGCCCCACTGTCCTCACCGCTGTCCCTCTATGCTGTCCCACTGTCCCCACTGCCCCCCCTGTTCTTACAGCGTCCCACTGTCCCCACTGTCCCCACCACTGTCCCCACCGTCCCCACTGTCCCATTGTCCCACCACCGTCCTCACCACCGCCCTCACCACTGACCCCACCACCACCGTCCCCAGCACAGTCCCACTGTCCCCACCACTGTCCCACTGTCCCCTCACCACTGTCCCCACCACCACCGTCCCCACCACTGTCTCACTGTCCCCACTGTCCCCATCACTGTCCCACACCAGTGCCCCCACCACTGTCGCGCTGTCCCCACTGTCCCCACTACTGGTCCCATTCTCCCCACTGTCCTCAGTCCCGAACACTGTCCCACTGTCCCACTGTCCCCCCCCCCCACTCCCTTCTGAAACCCCCCCCCTGCCCGAACACCCCCCAAACCCCCTCGCCAAGCAAGACACCCCCACCCCCCCGCACCCCCCCTCCAGAAAACCGGGGGGGGCACCACCGGTTCGAACCCCCCCCCCTCCAGAAAACTAAAGGGGGGGTCACTACCTGTTCGAACTACCCCCCCCTCTGGAAAACCGAGGGGGGTCACTGCTTGTTCGAACCACCAAACGACTCCTGGGTCCCCACCACCGTCCTCACCACCCACCGCCCTTACCACTGTCCCCACCACCACCGTCCCCGCCACTGTCCCACTGTCCTCACTGTCCCTACCACTGCCCCACTGTTCCCACCAGTGCCCCCAACACTGTCCCACTGTCCACACTGTCCCCACCACTGTCCCCACTACTGTCCCATTGTCCACACTATCTCCACTGTCCCCACCACTGCTCCACTGTTCCCACCACTGTCCCCACTGTCCCCACCGCTGTCCCACTGTGCTGTCCCACTGTACCCACTGTCCCACCAGTGTCACACTGTCCCCACTGTCCCCACCACTGCCCCCACTGTAACACTGTCCCCACTGTCCCACCACCGTCCTCACCACCATCCCCACCACTGACCCTGTCCCCTCACCACTGTCCACACCACCGCCGTCCCAACCACTGTCCCCACTGTCCACACTGTCCCCACCACTGTCCCACTGTTCCCACTGTTCCCACCACTGCCCCCACAGTCCCCACCAGTGCCCCCAACACTGTCCCACTGTGCTGCCCCACTGTACCCACTGTCCCAACCACTGTCACACTGTCCCCACTGTCCCCACCACTGTCCCACTGTACCACCGTCCCATTGTCCCCTCACCGTCCTCACCACCGCCCTCACCACTGTCCCCACCACCACCGTCCCCACCACTGTCCCACTGTCCCCACTGTCCCCACCACTGTCCCACTGTCCCCTCACCACTGTCCCACCCACCACCGTCCCCACCACTGTCCTACTGTCCCCACTGTCCCCCCCTCTGTCCCACTGTCCTCACTGTTCCCACCACTGTCCCCACTGTCCCCGGGAGTGCCCCCACCACTGTCCCACTGTCCCCACTGTCCCCACGACCACTGTTCCCACGACGGTCCCACTCAACCCACACTGTCCCCACTGTCCTTACTGTCCCCACCACCATCCCCACCACCGTCCCAACCACTGTCCCCACCACAATCCCCCATCCGGAATGGGGGAGGAGGGGGAGTCGTTTGCCGACGGCGAGGAGGGGGGGGGGTCGAACTGGTAGTAACCCCTCCTTTTCATGATGGACTAGGGGGGAGGGGGGGTTCGGAACCCCAGTGACTCCCCCCCAGTTTTCGACGGGGGGGACGAGTTTGACACCTCCAGTGAACCCCCCCCTGGATTTTCTGCCAGCAGCGGCAGAACACGCTCTTTCAGATCTCCAGGAACGACCCCGAAAACTTCGGCAACCTCTGATAATCTCATCAACCTCCACCTTCCGCACCCTCCGCGCGGCAGGTGTAGCGAGAGTCCGAGAGTCTCCAGGCGCACGCAGACTCGTCGACGCCCCAAGACCTCCGACTTCGTACATTTGCAGTGCGTGGTCGCCAGGGCTATCAGCCCCGTGCCAAAGACAAGATTTCCGTCGCGGGTCGCCCTTTGACGGTATCTGGGCCCGAACTCCATGATTTTCAGCTTTTTCAAAACGTAAAACGAAGCCAGGACAAGGATAAAGTCGGGTGAGAATAAGTCGGGAATCTCTGAGATCCAGCGGCTCTGGAGGATGTCTCGGGCGCCGCAGCCTTCTCATAGCGTTCCAGAGCGCTCTGAGAGCGCTCCAGAACGCTCTGGAACGGATTCATCCTCGTCCTAGCCCCGTCCGAAATTGCCTGGAGAAGCCTCCTCCTCCTCCTCCTAGTCCTCCTCCTCCTCCTCCTGGAGACCTGGGTCGACCCATCCACTCTGGCTCGAGGTCCCGACAAGGCTCTCCGAGCAGCGCCAACCCTTGGTCACAGCCGGCCCCCCCCCCCGCGGATCCCCGCCCAGTACAAGAGCAGCGTCAACCTTCGCAGACATGCGATGTCATCCTCTTCCTCCTCCTCATCCTTCTCCTCCTCCTCCTCCTCCTCCTCCTCCTCCTCCTCCTCCTCCTCGTCCTCCTGCTCGTCCTCGTCCACCTCCTCCTCCTCCTCCTCCTCCTCCTCCTCCTCCTCCTCCTCCTCCTCCTCCTGGAGACCTGGGTCGACCCGTCAACCCTCTCGCTCGAGGTCCCGACAAGGCTCTTCGAGCAGCGCCCACCTGTGGTCACAGCTGGGTCCCCCTGCGGATCCCCGGCAAGTGCAAGAGCAGCTTCAGCCTCCTCCTCCTCCTCCTCCTCCTCCTCCTCCTCCTCTGCAAGAGCAAACATGCGATGTCCTCCTCCTCCTCCTCCTCCTCCTCCTCCTCTCCTCCTCCCTCCTCATCATCATCATCATCATCATCATCATCATCATCATCATCATCATCATCATCATCATCATCATCATCATCATCAGCATCAGCATCAGCATCATCATCATCATCATCATCATCAAAATCAGAATCATCATCATCATCATCATCATCATCATCATCATGATCATGATCATGATCGTGATCATCATCAGCATCAGCATCAGCATCAGCATCATCATCATCATCATCATCCATCAATCATCATCATGATCATGATCATCATCATCATCATCATCATCATCATCATCATCATCATCATCATCATCATCATCATCATCATCATCATCATCCTCATCCTCATCCTCATCCTCATCCTCATCCTCCTCCTCCTCCTCCTCCTCCTCCTCCTCCTCCTCCTCCTCCTCCTCCTCTGGCCCCGGAAATGGAACACGAACTTGCCCCAGTAGCCCTCAAGTGCCAGGATGGCCCCCGAACAGCTTCACCCTCCGCAGACATGCGATGTCCTGACTTTTGCTGCGCGCGGCCCCCGAAGTCCCGCCCGGCTCGTACTCTGACGGCCCTGAGGCCCAGCGAGGGCCCGCCGAGGCCGAAAGCGGCCGAAGAAACCCTGTCGCGACTTTTCTAAGGCGGGAGCATGTCCGAGTTCCTGCTCCTCCATCGTCGTCGCCGCCGCCGCCGCCGCCGTCGCCGACGCCTGGGCGGGCCCGGTGGGCGGGGCGGGCCAGCTACGTTGATGAGGGCGGGCCACCCGCGTCACATCGGCGAGGAGTGCGTCCGGAGACTGCGGCCTCACTGCCCGATTGACAGAGGGCGTCATCGTCGTCCTCGCCGTCGCCGTCGTCGTCGTGGTCGAGGTCGTGGTCGTGGTCGTGGTCGTCGGCGTCGTTGTCGTCGCCTTCGCAGACGTCGTCGT